GGAAACTGAACGGTGGGAAACGGCGTGGCGGGAAAATGTGCGGTGGGAATCCGCGGGGTGGGAAAATATGCGGTGGGAAACCGCGGGGTGGGAAAATGTGCGGTGGGAAACCGCGGGGTGGGAAACTGAACGGTGGGAAACGGCGGGGCGGGAAAATGTGCGGTGGGAAACCGCGGGGTGGGAAAATATGCGGTGGGAATCCGCGGGGTGGGAAACTGAGCGGTGGGAATCCGCGGGTCTGGAAAATGTGCGGTGGGAATCCGCGGGTCTGGAAAATGTGCGGTGGGAATCCGCGGGTCTGGAAAATGTGCGGTGGGAAATGGCGGGGTGGGAAAATGTGCGGTGGGAATCCGCGGGGTGGGAAAATGTGCGGTGGGAAACGGCGGGGCGGGAAAATGTGCGGTGGGAATCCGCGGGGTGGGAAAATGTGCGGTGGGAATCCGCGGGGTGGGAAACTGAGCGGTGGGAAACGGCGGGGCGGGAAACCGCGTCACTCCCGCCCTGGCAGCCGCGCCTGCAGACCCGCTCTCAGCGCCTTGTCCCCCTAAGCTGAGGTGTGAAGCGGCTGCAAGGCCTGGCGGGGCCCGGGCCAAGCGCGGCTGTCCCGCCTGGACGGTCACCCGGCCGTGGAAGGAAGCCGATTCTGACACCGGCCACGGCGCGGGCCTCACCCGCGGCCGGGGCGAGCTGAGATTGCCGCAAAGGGCGCACCGCGTGGCGCACAGGCGTGAGGTGCCCCGTCGCCAGGCCCGTGGGGACGGAGGGTGGACGGTGGCCGCCAGGGGCAGGGAGGGGGCCGGAGTCCCGTGTGGCCAGGGCGGAGCCCCGGTGGGGAGGACGAGGAAGTTGAGGGCGGGCGGCGGCGCTGGCTGCGCAGCACCGTGAACGCGCTCAGCGCCGCTGACCCGTGCCCGCAAACACGGCTCAGGCGGTAAACCTTCCGTGCTTTGTACCACGTTAATAATTTCAAAAGGGCTTTGACACGTTTTGCCGAGCGTCACCCTCCGCGTGGCTGTGGCGGGGGCGGGGCCTCCCTCCGCGCAGGGCGGGGGCGGGCGGGGCTCAGCAGGGCTCAGACCCTGCTCTGCTCCAGCCCGCGGGGTCCAGGGCTCAGGCCGCCGCCAGCTCCTCCCGCCACGGTGTCGTTTCCGAACGGTCTCCCAGCTCTCTGGCCCAGCTGGAGGGGCGGGTGGAATGGCCGCGGAAGGGGACCTCAGGGGACGGCCGGCAGGGTGGGCCACAGCCCCTGGGGGACCCTACTCTCCGCCGCCTTCCTGCCTGCTCCAGGCACGGGTTGGGCAAACAGCCGGTGCTCAGTCGCCCCGGCACCTGTCCCCCGCCCGGATACCCCCCTCCTGTCCTCCCCACGCCTGCCCATGCGGGGGCAGCCCCGTCACCCCAGCTCAAGCGGCCCGGGTGCCTCTGTGTCTCCTCCAGGGACCCCGAGTGGCCCAGTGTCCACCAGCCGCCCCTCCCCACCTGCTGCCGGGAAAAGAGCCCCGCAGGCGGGCTCGCCGCCTGTACACCCAGCAGACAGTAGGCGCTCGGGGTGCACTGGACGGTGGGGGTGGCCGCAGCCTGGGCCCCCCCCCACTGAGCGCCCCCAGGGCAGAGGGCAGAGGGCAGGACAGGCGGGACTGGCGGCCACCGTGGCCTGCCAGGGTTGTGGCTGTTGAGACATCCCGGATGTGGCCTGGGGGCGCGGCCTGTTTGCTCAGCCTGTTTGCAGAGTCAGCTCTTCACG